TCTCTCTCTCTCTCTCTCTCTCTCTCTCTCTTTCTTTCTTTCTTTCTTTATTTCTTTCTTTCTCTAAAATTTTTCACCCTTCTTAGTTATAATTTTTCACCCCCCATGCCTCCTATTTATAGGCATCCTGGTTTACCCGGAACGGCCGGTACTGAATTCGGAACGGCCCGTTCCGGATCCTTCGAATATAGGCAAAATTTTCAACTGGAACGGCCCGTTCCAAAAATCAGAACGGCCCGTTTCCAAAAATCCTTGGAGAACCTCCCGCCTTATAAGGCCTTTTTGGTAAGGAGACCTCCCCGATGTGGGACTTGTTATACATTAGTTACTTTTGTCATGTCATAAAAGCTTATGAACAGAAAAATGTCATTACTTCTCCTTGGCGCTTTTAAAATTTCCAACTTGGTGCATTTTTGTTTACAATTCTTTTTTACCATTTTAACTTTGTGTTTCACCTTTATCTCCCACTATACATATTTTAAAAATATATCTGAAAATCAAAAGAATAACATCTTTTTATCCCAAATACGTGTTCAAAAAATATTTCCCTTTATAAAGAAGAAAACCCCTCTCTACCTTTATATGTTTTTGGTTCTCATTGGTCATCCATGATACACAAACCTTGTTTCTTAATTTTGGTCATATATACTAAGAAATGCACCCCACACACTTATAAAACATTTGCAACTTCTAGCCTTGCACATTATAAAATTGTAATGGGTTACTTGGGTTAGCAAGTCGAATCAAAATAGTTGGCCACATGCTTGTGTTTGTTGTTAAAATTCCGAAATTCCCCTCTGCTCTCAACAGAGCCAACATCTCCAACGCATCACAAACAGTGTCTAATTGTCTATAATTAAACTATGCATGGAAAATCCAAGTAGAGACTTAAAAGGCAAGTGGTTGCATTTTGAATCCACATGGTGGGGCTTCTTCAACATGTCAAAGTAGATGGCTACTTTGGAAGTGAGAGACCAAGCTCATATATTATTGTCTTGAACATGTAAAGTTTACTCCATCATATAATCTAATTCAGTTGATAGATATTTGAGTTTCTATAAATTTGATTCTCTAATAATATGTATACAAAATTTTTTATTAGAGAAGCAAAATCTACTTTAATAATTTTTATGATTTAAAATAAATTAATTTTTAACTATTGATTTGAGTGGAAACATATATTTTTATTATTATTAAAAGTTGTTAATACAAGTGATTTGATAGTTAAGTATCTGAAATTTGATTTCTAATTTAAGTATAAAGTTATGATAAGATGTTTCATTTTATTTTTAGAAGAGTTGATTTGATAAAAGAAAATTATACCTTTATATTATATAGTATATAATAATATTGTTGTACTCAATAGATGATGCAGTGATATAAGTTTGTTGGGGAATCGTAGTGACAGACACTTAACAAGCATTAAATACATCATTATTTATTTACCTTTTCGAAACACCACCCTGATCCATTGAACCCATCAACCTCTGACTTGTTCACAATTTAATAATGAAATTAATTGAAAATAAGAAGAAAAATATATCTCCAGAAAGTTAAAATATGAAGGAAAAAGAAAGAATGAGTAGCTAGATAAAATTTCATAGATGATACTCCCTCTATTTTTTTTTCATAGTCGTTTAAGGTTTTGCACGGAAATTAAGGAAATTATTGATATTTTAGTTTTCAAAAATATTTATTACTTACTTTCTTATTTTACTTTTTATTTTTTGCATTTTTAGACTGTTGAACTACTCCATTAAATAGTTATCCCTTTTTTTGTTTT